TCCCCCCCCTTTATTTTTTCACTGGACATAGGGTGTGGGAAAAAGTAAAATTCTTTTCTGTGGACACAAAGTATTATTTTCGTTGATGAGTAACCTAATAAGTAAATAGCCAAACTGAAATAAATATATTTGTTACTGAAAATTTTCAAGAATTAATGAAGGATTAACTTTTAAACAGAACTTTGATGGGAAAAAGACATTATGTACAGTTCAACTTTTTAAGGGGAAAGTTTCCCCAGAGGGGCTTCTTCAGTCCTAATACAGAGAAAACTAAGAAAAACATTTATAGTGGCGGGGTCGTGGGGGTGCTGCGGGGGGTTGAGGGGGTGGAGTAGTAGTAGAAAGGATTATAGTAGTTAGTTTAGTAGTAGATAGAGTAGAAAGGGAATAAGGAGGTGAGGTAGGGGGGCCTGTGGATCAAGAAAACCCAGTTCCCAGGAGGGGTAAAACCCTTTTGTTTAGTTTTTGAAATACTGAACTCCCGGATTTTTCTTTATAGTGTTATGACAGAAATTAGTGCAGCTTCAATGATTTTCCCCGTTTAAGTGTCTTTTTTAAAAACTTTTCTTCATTGAATTTCATGATGCCCAAATGTCTCTTGTTGAAACTGCGTTTTTGCGGAATCATTTCTGCAAGCTTTTTTGTGTTCTGCTACCTAATGTCCAGATTTTGGGTGTTTCCCTAATATCCCTTGTCAACCCCCCACAGGGATGTGTAGTTCCTGACTTGTGCCAGAAAATGTTTGGGTTTTTGTACATTTTCCTAAAGTATTTGAAGACGGGTAGATATTTTAGTTTTTTTGTCAAACATTTTAAAAAATTAGTGGCAACGTTTGCCGGGTAAAACGATGAAATTTTGGGGCTTTTCTTCAATTTGATAGGTGTTGGTCTTGCTGGGGAACTGTTGATTTTCCTGCACCCGTATGATTTGTGGGGGAAAAAGTGAGTGAACTAAAAGATTTGGGTTTGGTATGTGCTTCTTCTTCGAGGAATGCGGACGGGAAAATTTTGTAGGCTTCGAAAGAACCCAATAACTCCCCCTCTTTTTTTTCTTGTGTCATGGTGAGAAAAGAAATGTACAAATCACTTGTGGGTAGGCTTCCGGGAAAAGATTAAAAAGAAAGTTTGTTTTCCCCTGTGGAAAAACGTCGAAAAAAGGAACTGGTTGTCCTTCTCCCCCTCAGAGAAAATTTTATAGTGGGTTCCCAGTTTGTGGTGTTGAGGATGCCCTGTACTCAGTTTTTTGGGTAAAATGCCCAAAATATCATCTCGTACCGCATCCAAGAATGAACGAGGGATTTTTTGAGGACCCTTCTTGATTCAGGTCCTCCATATAAATTTGCAAAAACTGCACAAAGGGGGGATCCATGGCAGTCCGAAGAGTTGTTTTTTACTTTTGTCCTCGAACCAAAAACAGTTATAACGAACACAAAGTTCGACAAGGCTAAAAAAACTTGGGGGGGTACATTTAACTCTGTATCTCTTTAATCACCCTGCGAAGAAGATCAATGGTTTGATCAAGGGCATTGGGAAAAGGGGCAGTCCGAAAAAACTTGCAAGCTTTTTATCATCATGTGAACCCTGTACTTTAAGGAGGTACCCGAATGCTTTAGATAGCCTGACTGATTGTACCCAGGAGCTTTGACAAAATTTCGCCAAAACTCCTGCTAACTGTGAGGGGCCTGCCGATCCGATGTAAGGGTTTCCCATAGGCACAGGGGGTTTGGGGGTTTTTTGGTAAACCAAAAAGTCTAGCTGACTTGGGGGTTGGTAGGGATGAGGCGAAAGAGCTTTTTCCTTCTTCTTTTTCCGAGTTACTGGGGTTTTCTAAAAAAAGGAATCTTTTTCTTTCCTCCTGATGTTGGGGGGATGGAAAGTATGTGTTGGCGCGTTAAATAAATCTTGCATCTTACTAACTGTCTTATGTTTAGGGGACCATCCTCCCCCTTTGTCCGCTGTGGTGATGAGAAATCATTTTTGGTAGCTAAGTGTTTGGTCCCGGATTACGAGAGGAATGACGGATGACTAGGTTTAGAAAATGCAGCTGCAATTTGTCCTTGTATAAACCTTTTTTAAACTCAGAGTCACCGAAAAAAAATGGTTTTTTATCACTGGTCTAACTCGCATTTAGGCTTCCCTTGCCCGTAGCAAACTTTAGACCTAAGCTGAGTGCTTTGGTTCTGTATCCTGAGAACATAAGAAGAAAGGGTTTTTGTGATGTCAGCTTCTTTCTTTCCCTTTGTTGGTTACAGGAGAGGAAGTTTTTGAGAGCCGTAGTTTTTGCTGAGGTTTGGGGGTGGGAACTTTGTTAGGAGATTTGCGGTGCGTCTGTCAGGAGTGGGGGGGAAGGGGGTGAGAGTAGGTGAGCACTATGGAAATAATCTTTTAGCAAGCGGTAGATCTTCCCTTTCACTCCTAGAATGGGAATAGCGGAGAGAAGGATGTTTAGAATCCCTGGTGGTGTGGGGTGGGGTCTAGGTGCGACCATTTTCTTGCAGTTTGAGAAAAAAACTCTGGAACCTACTATAAATTTACTCTAGAGGAGGAGAAGGCAACCGTTTCCTTTTCTCGACGTTTTTTTACGCACAGGGGGAAAAAAACTTTCTTTTAAAAATTTTCCCAAACCTACCACAAAAAGATCTTGTACATTTCTTTTCCACCTGACCAAAAACTAAAAAAGGGGTAGTTATTGGTTTTTCGAGAGCCTCAGAAATTTTCCGTCCGCTTCCTAAAAAAAAAATGTACATACATACCAAATCTTTTTGTTCCTACATTTCCCCTACACTTCAAGTGACTGCAGGAAACGTGAACCGTATCCCCAGCAAACCAACCCCTATCAATTGAAGAAAAACCTCCCAAAATTCATCGTTTTACCGGTCGCAACGTTTTCCATAATGTTTCAAAAAAGTTTGAAAAAAATGGCTAAAAATCTACAGCTCTTCAACTACTATTAGGAACCTGATACAAAAACCCAAGCATGATTCTGGCACAAGTGCAGGAATCTACACTATACCATGTGGGGGGTGTGACAAGGTATATGTAGGGGAAACAGCCAGAACTCTGGACATTAGGATAGCAGAACACAAAAATGCTTGCAGAAATGATGACCGCAAAACGCATGTGTTCAACTAGAGACGATGTTGGACACCTCATGAAATTCAATGAAGCTAAACTAGTTTTTAAAGAAGACGACTTAAGACGGAGAAAATGCATTGAAGCTGCACTAATTTCTGTCAGTAACACTATAAAGCAAAAATCCGGTAGTTACAGTATTTCAAAATTACTAAGCAAGAGGATATTACCCATCCTGGGAACTGGAGTTACTTGATGCCAGCAGGTCCCTCTCTAGCCTCACCTCCTTAGTTCCATTACTACTACTACTACTACTACTACTACTACTACTACTACTACTACTACTACTACTACTACTACTACTACCACCTCTACCCACGCAGCACCTCACCTGACTCCCGCCACTATATATATGTGTGTTTTCTTAGTTTTCTCTGTATTAGGACTGAAGAAGCCACTCGTGGCGAAACGTTTCCTTTAATAAATGTCCTGAACTGTACATAAGTGTCTTTTTCCACATCTTGTCGGTATCACCATACCATTTCCTCAAGATCTTTTGAGTTCACTATTGACAATAACAACAAATAATAATAATAATCATAATTATTATAGGTAGTAGGTTGGTAGACAGCAACCACCCAGGGAGGTACTACCGTCCTGCCAAGTGAGTGTAAAACGAAAGCCTGTAATTGTTTTACATGATGGTAGGATTGCTGGTGTCTTTTGTCTGTCTCATAAATATACAAGATTACAGGTACGTCTTGCTACTTCTACTTACACTTAGGTCACACTACACATACATGTACAAGCATATATATACATACCTCTCTGGGTTTTCTTCTATTTTCTTTCTAGTTCTTGTTCTTGTTTATTTCCTCTTATCTCCATGGGGAAGTGGAACAGAATTCTTCCTCCGTAAGCCATGCGTGTTGTAAGAGGTAACTAAAATGCCGGCAGCAAGGGGCTAGTAACCCCTTCTCCTTTATATATTACTAAATTTGAAAGGAGAAACTTTCATTTTTCCTTTTGGGCCACCCCGCCTCGGTGGGATACGGCCGGTGTGTTGAAAGAAGAATCATGATTATAATAGAAATGAAGCAGGGAAACAAGTGAGTGGTACACTGATGCATCTGTGGAGACAAAGAACATTATCCATGGAGGCAAAAAGAGGAATGTATGAGAGTATAGAGATTTCAATGCTTTTATGTGTGTGAAACCTGGGTTGTGAATGTTGCAGTGAGGAGGAGGCTGGAGGTAGTGTAGATGTCAAGTCTGAGGGCAATGTGTAGTATGAGTATTATGCAGAGAATTCGTAGTGTGTAAATTAGATGATCGTATAGGAATTTTTTGTTAACAGAATCCACTAATTTTGCAAACAGTTTATTTCTACTGTACCTTGCTTAGTCCCCAGAATTTTAAAGTAGGTCCCTGGACCTTTCATGTGCCTCTGCAGTCTTATCATTACTGCCCACTGGATGATTGTAAGGGCCATAGTAAATCAATTAAATCAATCCATATACTACAATGTTACTGTTCGCATTTTTGTCAACAGTTTCTGCCATACATCTACTGTCCTCAAATTACTTACAAAATTTGTGTATTAGGCGGAGGCTCAATGGGAATCTGCCATGACAGTACCCCTCGTTGTTGCCGAACAACTACCAGCAATGGATAAGTATAACCACTCATAGGGCTGCTCACAGTTACTCGCACAGCACTATTCTGTAAAATAAATTTTATATTAAATAAAAAACATTTAAATGTTCATTTATTTGTAGGTTTTAAGAATTTTCAGATAATTTTACTTTTTTTATTAAAATCAAAACTTCGGTATTAAAATTAAGTGAAAAACATCATCTCTGTGTACAGAAATGCAGATTTATGTTAAGAACAGGGAAGTGCTGCTTTGGGAAAGTGTGTAGATTCTATCAAAGAAAACATGTAAAGACTCGCTTAAAAAAATGCTATGGCCTAAAGTGCATACTATTTCAAATGAGAGGAACTGAATTTTTCCAACAAAAATCTGTTTTTTTTTTTTTAAGGCACGAAGGCAAAGACAAAGAATGCGAAACGGCAAAAAAGAAACTTTAAACAGACAGATGGAAATACAGTAAACCCTCCAAATAATGAACTAATAGACTATTAAGGAAATAAGTCACGTTGTCTGACCTTTTTTTTGGGTTAGCCTAGGTAATTTACACTATGTATGATAATTGTACTTATATATTTCTTATATATTAATTTATTTATTTATTTGTACAACTATGTATCATGTCCATATAAAAAAATAAATAAATAAATAAATGTGTACCTGTGCCTAAATAAACTTACTTATTTAATGGCACTTGTGGAAAATACATAAGAGATTGTTTTGCCATGATTGTTACAATAATGGACAATTCTCTATCCAACAGATTTTGTCCACTGTTTCCAAATCAAGTGATCCAGTGGACTTATGTTCCTTAATTCCTCATTATACTGAGGTTTGTTACAAGGAGTTTTTTTTTTGTATGAAAAAGAAACAAGTCAGGTGACATGAGTATAAATCATTAGGGAAAAAGAAAACAAGTCACACACGCCAAAAATAAATGCTAAATCCTAAATTACAGTATTACAAACACCAACCATACAACACAGACCCAGAGTAGCTACCCACACCAGCCTAATTATAAGCAGATGGAGCTGTACTGGACAGAACAATTATAGGAAACAGAACAGCATGAGTGAGAGGAATATCATACTCGATTCACCAACAATTTTGCCAGTATTAAATTCACCCACAGAATAATCTCCAGTTTTGTTTTTGCTAATATATATATACAAAGCATGAGAACAAAGATACAAAACAATATGCCAAGAATAAATGCCTGCTTACAGAAACAAATTATATATCTGGAGCCTTCATGAAAGTCCACACTAATGACTTCTCAGACAGTAAAATATGGATCCAAACTATAATTTGAACAGATGTGATTTAATAAATATTTAAATTGTAAATTGGAGTTAGTTTATTTATATGAAACAACCACATATGTGACCTGAACTTTTTAAAATCACCAAATGCTATGGAATCTTCAACCTCCCAAATGTTTTTTAAATGGAAGAAGACAGACAACAGTATTGCAGCAGAAACTGTACAGACTGAAAGTATTGTAGCTAAATGGGTTTATACCAGAGAACTTTTAAGATTATATGAGAAGTTTGCATTAAATCATCAATGAAATTACTAGAAGTAAATATGCTATGTTTGCTGACAAACAACTTCCTTGAAGCTCAAACAAGGATACAGGTGTGGAGAATCAAACAACAGTTAGTGTAAGGAAATGTTTGGTAAATTCAACTTCAACAATCAGAAAATTAACTGAAACAACTATCAAACATCCCTTGGAAAACTCTCCTCAACACTAAACCAATGGATGGAAAAGGTGAAGAAGATATGTACAAAGCCTGTATAAAATACATATTACTAACACCCAAACAGATCTTACATGGAGTTAAAGTACAGAAGACTTTACATAAAAAGGAAGAAGGTAACTCATCACTAATAAACTGCAAAAATCACAACACAGAAAATTTACATAGAGAAATTACAATTTCCAGTTGACATAGTCCAAACCATGTCCATAAGTTGTTTCAAGTCACTGACTACAAGCCACAGCAAAATCTGACAATGTGAAAGTTTCCTTGCTATTTAGACTGCTTTAATCTCTACTATCAAAATAAGTTGACTCAACATCAAAGAAAAAAGTAGTTTAACAGTGTATGCTGAAACAATATAGGAGCTGCACAGCATGTGCCTTGGTGAAAGACTGTGAAGCATCTCTTTCCTGCTAGTACCAATAAAAGCATTGCACTCACCTTCAGTTTTGTTACATTATAGTTGAACTCAAACAAGTATTCAGAAGTCTGGTTAATATCTTCTCTAATCTCTTCTCCAAACTTTCCCTCGATGACAACAGAGTGAATTATCTCCTCCAAGCCACTGCTGTCATCTGCTCCTTTTTTGTACATTCCAAGTGATCGTTCATAGTGAGAACTTTTCTTCATTATTGCATCTTCTTGTTCATTATCACCTTGTTTGACACTTTCCTGGTTAGTGCCAGGAGCCTGTCGTTCACCATACAAGTCCAGCTGTGGTGGAGTGTATGCTGAAACCTGGTATGGAGCATTATGCTTAAGTTTCAGTGGGTGGTAATACTGATGTGTATTGTGGTGAGGGTGAGGCCCAGGGTGTTGGGCAGCCTCTACCACAGTAGATATCATCCAGATGGCAACCACAAGACTCACCATTATCATCCGAGCCCTCACGTATCCCAACCACAAAACTGCTCCTCCACGCTTCATTTCCTCTTCCCTTCCACTACATATATAATACTAGGCAACATTACACCACAGATAAAGTCGTGAATCACAATCAAGTATCCATTTCCACGAACATTTAGGCTACAAGAGCCTCTCCTCTACTTCCCAACTTGTTTCCTGATTATCAACCTTGGTAAGATTTATCTGGCACAGTTTGTTAGAGTTAACATATTTTTATGAAGAAGATTGAACGATTACGTGCAGCGTCGAATTTTATTTATTTTATATTACTTTCTTCCAGATATTTATTTTTGATATATAATATTAGCTTTTAAAAAATTACAAAAATTATAATTATGCGAGAAAGTATGCAAACTGTATCAGATAGTTGTTGTTGTTATTGTTGGGTTGAAGGGTTGTGACGGTCCTAGGGTGGGTTGTGACGGTCCTAGGGTGGGTTAAGATAAGATAAGATTTCGTTCGGATTTTTAACCCCGGAGGGTTAGCCACCCAGGATAACCCAAGAAAGTCAGTGCGTCATCGAGGACTGTCTAACTTATTTCCATTGGGGTCCTTAATCTTGTCCCCCAGGATGCGACCCACACCAGTTGACTAACACCCAGGTACCTATTTGCTGCTAGGTGAACAGGACAATAGGTGTAAGGAAACGTGTCGGAATTTCCACCCGCCGGGAATCGAACCCGGGCCCTCCATGTGTGAAGCGGGAGTTTTAGCCACCAGACCACGGTCCTAGGGTGGGTTGTGACGGTCCTAGGGTGGGTTGTGACGGTCCTAGGGTGGGTTGTGACGGTCCTAGGGTGGGTTGTGACGGTCCTAGGGTGGGTTGTTACGGTCCTAGGGTGGGTTGTTACGGTCCTAAGATTTCGTTAGGATTTTTAACCCCGGAGGGTTAGCCACCCAGGATAACCCAAGAAAGTCAGTGCGTTATCGAGGACTGTCTAACTTATTTCCATTGTGGTCCTCAATCTTGTCCCCCAGGATGCGACCCACACCAGTCGACTAACACCCAGGTACCTATTTGCTGCTAGGTGAACAGGACAATAGGTGTAAGGAAACGTGTCGAAATGTTTCCTCGCCGGGAATCGAACCCGGGCTCTCCGTGTGTGAAGCGAGATCTTGTGACGGTCCTAGGATGGGTTGTGACAGTCCTAGGATGGGTTGTGCCGGTCCTAAGGTGGGTTGTGACGTCCTAGGATGGGCTACAACGGTCGTAGGGTAGGTTGTGATGGCTCTAAGGTGGGTTGTGATGGTCCCAGGGTGGGTTGTGACGGTTCCACACTTATTCATGTGCCTACTACATACATAGAACAATACACGCAAACTTAAACCCTCCACTCAAACTTCTCACCAACCTTAACAGGACACACGATCATAACACAAGACACAGATCTCTTTTTGATGTACCCCGTGTCCATATCACACTGCATGTAACACAGCAGGTAACACTGAGAGTAACACAACGCAGGGTAACGTAGCAACTCAGCAGGAAACTTTGAAAGCAACACAGAAATATAGGAGGAAGCACAGCAACACAGAGTAATAATATAGCTGGTAATATTGAAAGCAACACGAAAGGTAACACAACACAGCAAATAGCTTTCAAGGTAACACAGCAAATAACTTTCAAGGTAACACAGCAAATAACTTTCAAGGTAACACAGCAAATAACTTTCAAGGTAACACAGCAAATGACTTTCAAGGTAACACAGCAAATAACTTTCAAGGTAACACAGCTAATAACTTTCAAGGAAACAGCAAATAATTTTCAAGGTGACACAGCAAATAACTTTCTAGGTAACAGCAAATAGCTTTCAAGGTGACACAGCAAATAACTTTCAAGGTAACACAGCAAATAACTTTCAAAGTAACACAGCAAATAACACTGAAGGTACATAAATAACCTGCAGGGGTGTCACTAGCACGTTAAGAGACCATACAATAAGTGTCAGGGGCCCGAGACTGTTCAACTGCCTCCCAGCACACATAAGGGGGATTACCAACAGACCCCTGGCAGTCTTCAAGCTGGCACTGGACAATCACCTAAAGTCAGTTCCTGATCAGCCGGGCTGTGGCTCGTACGTTGGTTTGCGTGCAGCCAGCAGCAACAGCCTGGTTGATCAGGCTCTGATCCACCAGGAGGCCTGGTCACAGACCGGGCCGCGGGGGCGTTGACCCCCGGAACTCTCTCCAGGTAAACTCCAGGTAAACATATATAGAGGAGCTTACGACGACGGTCGGTCCGACTTGAACCATTTACAAAATGACTCAGTGCGGGTTGTGTATTGTTCCAGTCACGGTATTGTGCCTTTTTTCTTACACTGAAGGTAACATAGCAGATAACACTGAAGGTAACACAACAAGACTCAGATGACACTGAAGGTATCACAGGAACACAGAAGGTAACACTGAAAGGAGAACAGTAATACAACATGAAACACTACAAGGTAATGTCGCAACACTGCTGGTGACACTGAAACTAACCACAACACAGCAGGTAAAACAGCAGACAACATAACATAGGAGGCAAACAACACAAGAGCAAAACAGGCAACACAATAACACAACAGATAACGCAAAAACAGAACAATGCAACAGGTGACACAGCAGGAATCACCACAACACAGCAGGCAACAAATCAGGCGAAGTAGTTGTAGTGGTTCTAGGATGGGTTATAGCGATTCTAAGTGGGTTGTAGTAGATAGTGGTTCTAGGGAGGTAAGTAGTGATTCTAGAATGGGTTGAATGTCTCTTATGGACCTATTATGGGTTTTAGGGTTTTTAAGGTTAGTTGCAGTGGTTCGAAGGCTGAAGAGTAATGAACAATGTGTGCCAGGGATGAACAATGTGTGCCAGGGATGAACAATGTGTGCCAGGGATGAACAATGTGTGCCAGGGATGAACAATGGGTGCCAGGAATAAACAATGCGTACTCCAGGTATACTCCAGGGATGGTATAAACCTTGGTAATAAATACCGACAAGTTGAACATCAAAATGGTATACAATACCGACAGGTTGTTAGGTACCTAACACACCGACAAGTTGGTTTAGAAAGACACGTAAGCAAACACTATGACATATTTATTAGAAAACGTTTCGGTCCTGGGACCTTGATCACTTCTAACATACAGAGGTAGAAAGGCATTATATATATATAGGCGGAGAGTGAGGTGTAACGCACGTGACCTGAAGAATGTCATGTGTTCTTATGTTCTTATGACATTCCTCAGGTCACGTGCGTCACACCTCACTCTCCGCCTATATATATAATGCCTTTCTACCTCTGTATGTTAGAAGTGATCAAGGTCCCAGGACCGAAACGTTTTCTAATAAATATGTCATAGTGTTTGCTTACGTGTCTTTCTAAACCAACTCCAGGGATGAACAATGAGTGCCAGGGATGAACTAGCGTGCCATGGGTGAACAATGTTTGCCAGGGATGAATATTGAGTGGTAGGAATGAACAAAGAGTGTCACTGGAGGTCAGTGACTCACTCACCAGTGTTCTTACACAACATGTCAGAGGAAATTAAAGGTCAAGGTGGAAAAAACTTTAAACATTATATATAGCGCACCAGTTAGTTTGATTTTCCCACCTACCGACACTTATCTTGCAAGCATATTTAGCTTTTCTATTTTCAAGTATATCTGATTGCTCATGCTAGTTAACTGAAATCAGTTCTTTTAACTCGCATTCATGTGCACGGTAGCGCACACACACACACACACACTCGTGGAGGAGTCACGCGGTTTGAGCTAGATAAGATAAGATAAGATTTCGTTCGGATTTTTAATCCCCGGAGGATTAGCCACCCAGGATAACCCAAGAAAGTCAGTGCGTCATCGAGGACTGTCTAACTTATTTCCATTGGGGTCCTTAATCTTGTCCCCCAGGATGCGACCCACACCAGTCGACTAACACCCAGGTACCTATTTGCTGCTAGGTGAACAGGACAACAGGTGTAAGGAAACGTGTCGAAATGTTTCCACCCGCCGGGAATCGAACCCGGGGCCTCCGTGTGTGAAGCGGGAGCTTTAGCCACCAGGCCACCGGGCCACCGGTGTTTTGGTGATAATTTCTGACTGTGCCATAAGGAATAGAGTGTGGGATATAGGCGTGTGCACGCATAAGAGTGCATATAATACCTTAAGCCCCGAAAAAAGGAAATATAAGTGATCACAGAAAAGAAAAAAAAGGAAATATTGTTGAGTGTTTAGTGAGGGCCGTTGGAAGGGTGAACAGTTGTGTCAGGCCTAAATAGTGTTGCCATAATAACGCAGTGGGTTATTTTGAAGAATAAGTGCGACTCAAGACCAGGGAGATAAAGCTATGTATAGATGTGTCAGTAAATACGTGAGTGAGTGAAAAAATTTAGAAGAGCTAAAAAAAATTTTGAGCTACGGGAAAAGTTAGTGGAAAAATTACGAGAAGCTCAAACATCAATTTGGAAAAGGGCAGCCAGCAACGAAATCCACTGCCAGCCGCATTTAAAATTTACCTAGTTTGAGTTGCATGGGGTCAATTTTTTTCCTGTCTTAGCGGAATTGGGGGTCACTTCTGAGCTATAGAAATTTGAAAAAGCAGCATTTTTTGGCATTTAATAGAAATTTTGAGGGAGCGGGAATAGGGGAAGCCTAGTGTATTAATTTTTGAACGTAATTTTAAAAATCTAAAGTAAGTGGGAACCAAGAATGGGTACTATACAATACTTTCCTGGAGTTTACCCAGAGAGAGTTTTGGGGGTCAACGCCCCCGCGGCCCCGGGCGTACCGGCCCCCTGGTGGATCCCCCTGATCAACCCGGCGTTGTGTGGCTGCACGCAAACCAACGTACGAGCCACGCCCGGGGATCGGAACTGACTTTAGGTGATTGTCAGTGCCAGCTTGAAGACCCGGGGGCTGTTGGTAATCCCCCTTATGTTGTGGGAGGCAGTTTAAAAAGTTCGGGGCCCCCACACTTATTGTTGGTCTCTTAACGTGCTAGTGCACCCCCCTGTTTTCTTGGGGGATGGTGATGTCTGCCCCAAATCTTTTGCTTTGTGTGAGTATTTTCGTGTGCAAAATTGGGGACTGTCCCTCTGGTTTTTTCCCGGTGTATATAATCATGTATCTTCCTCCCGCGTTCCCGGGAAAAGGGTTTTGAAACCAAGCGCTCCCGTAAATTGAGGGTTTTTTTCTCCCCTTATGCG